TCAGGCCTGAGAACAGGGTGAAGGGAAGCAGCTGTCTCTGGAATAGAAAAAAATAGAAGGAACTGCAGGTCAAGGGCCAGTGGGATTGTGAATGGTTGGGGGAATGGAGGAGCTGGTGAGAGATGAGTCTATTCACCTGTCAATTACACATTCACAGCACAAATTATTTTTTTAATCATTTGGCAAATGTTTATATATCGCCTTATTTTATGATTAATGTTTGTGATTGTATATGTTGACTTTTCAGCAATATTCTGCAAGGTACTCAAAGGCAGAAATATTAATTTAAATTTTTGCTTATATCACACCGTTAACTGACCCAACAGTTGGAGATCAAAGTTTATGTAAAATATTCATGATATAAAAAATATCAAATTTGGATATTCTGGTTTTGTTCATCTGTCACATCATTATTAGCATGATGTTTTTCCTGTTTTTTCCCCACATCATTTCCACTTTCTTTAGTGTCTAAAATGTCCACTTCCTTTACGTTTATAGCATAATGTCCTGTGTCTTAAATCCATACATTTTAAATGAACATTTAAAACAATGTTAGTTGTTCTAGTAACATATGTAATTGTTCAATTTGGCACTTTAAAAGTCTTTATGATTTCCTGTAATTTCTCCCCTTCCTCCCCTTTCACTTAGTCTTTTTTATAGTTCTCTCCCACTCATTTTCATGTTCTTAACAGCCCTCCTAACCTCCTTCCTTCCCCTGCTAGTAGATCCTTTGTCCCTTTAAGGTTTATATTTCCTTATAATCATTATATTTCGCTCATCTATCAATTGTTTTTTTTTTTTTAATTTAGCACTAAGGCTCATTATATGCCAATCGAAAGTCACAATGCCTCAAGTGACCACATCATGAAGGAGATTCAGGCAGCACAGATTAGGGGCAGAAATGGAGCTGGCCCTCTCAGCCAAGTCCACACTCCTGACTCCTGCTGTCTCAGGCACTGATGCCCTTCCATGTCTCCTCTCTCATTCTTGAATTCTTCTCTTTTTAAGTCTTTCTAGGTTATAAAATATTTTCTACAGAAATCCAGAAGAAGTACCTGAGAAAAAAAAACAGAAATCTTTCCTGAATTTTACAACCCATCAACTAGAGAATACTGCTTGTCTTTTCCTTGTAGCAAGGAGTCCTAATTAGTAGATAAACTGAATGGAGTGAGGCATAACTAGAAGACAGGCACTTACAAATACAATATGTCATTCAATTTTCTCCTTACTTCTCATCTTTTTGTTTCAGGAATAGAAATATAGAGAAAAACCCAGCTCTGGAAAAATAAGTAATAAAATAGTACTAAAATTTACAAAATGATAGAAATAGTCATAGAAGATCACAGTTGTGTAGGGAACCTCATTAGAACTATGGCATGTAGCTGAGACTGGTTTTTACAACTTATTGTGAAATACTTAAGGACTTTCCTTTCCAAAATGAGAAAGTTCAGTGTAAATATTTCATTTAAACAAACAAATAGGAATTATATTATAAGCTTGTTTACTGATCATTAACTACTCATAGGGGAAGAACTGGGTACTTTTATATTTAGGTGACAATTATAAAATATTTGTGGTGCATCAGTATAAATAAATAAGGAAACAAAAGTTCCTTAGGAAAGGTACATCCATGCCAGTGCAATAGGAATGCCCTTGTTACTACCCTGGAAGCTGAAAAGACACACATATTCATTTGTAATTAAGATTGCTGGCTCTGGTCAGACAGATGTTGATTGAAAACTTCTGCATAGCCAACTTACATGATTTTGTCTCTTTTTTCTAATTAGCACATTTTGGATCATAATAATAATACAGAATTCATAAAGATTAAATTTGAGCTTCTATTTGACTTATGTCCATAAGCTCCTGGGGTGAAGCATGTTCTCCTTTGCCAGAAAATATCATTCCCATGAAAACACTGAAAAACAAGTCCCAAGGTCCCTGCCAGCTAGAGAAATTAGTATACTAGCCCAATAGCACAACTAATGGTAAGCATTTAGACACAGGTATGAAGGTAAGTGGTATCGTATCTTGATGCACCGACATGCCCAGCTTGTATAGCTGGGACTCTGGGACAATGAGCAGTTGTCACATTTCTGAGTAGTCCCTTGCTTCAGTTTTCAAAGACCTCTCTCCAGTGATTAGAATCACTACAATGCTCTAGCTTAAAGACTTTGATTGGCATCATGTCAATTGAGGAAGTGGCTAAGATAGATCTCCTGCTGTTCTGCCTGTCAGGAACTCTATGATAAAGTGAACTACCTGAGTTGCTGATAAATGATTAAAAAACCACTGAGAGTAAATCTTCAAAAACAAAATATATAGAAAAGTCTAAAACAAAATCACTGTTAATCCATGACTTCTGAGTTCTGACAAAACCCAAGTTTAAAACCATTTTCTATAGCATCTTGATGGCCTTTACTGAGGCCTTCCAATGTGAAATAAGAATGATAGCACATAGGTAATCACTTGTTGGTTTGCAGTGAAGGGTCAATAAGACAATTTGGGCAACTTGGTTGTCAGAATGTCTGAACAGAAGTGTGCTCTTTTGCAAAGCCAGTCCTTTCTCCTTCCTTTTCAACATTACCTTGAAAACCTTCCCAGGGTTTCTACTAATGACACATTTTTGACAGGAGGTAGAATTAAGGTAGGAGAACCATCTATAAAAATTACTCAATGGCCAGTGAGTAAGAAAATGAAAATATCAGTCAATAATTCATTGTTCCATTGGTTCTGTATTATGTAGATTTATCGTGGGTTTGAAAGACAATCTTGGCTTTTGCTTTGTTCAAATTCTTCATGTTACAGTGTCTCTAGTTAGTAACCTAAAAGTTAATAGTAAATTGATTTGCATCCAAGTCAAAGTAAACCTCTATTTAAGTTTCATAACTTTAAAAGGTCCAAATACCCTGGAAAAGATGTACTGCTTTCATTGTAGGAAAGAGTTAAAATAATATTCTTTAAGTTTAAATAGCAGCTGATGGAATGATTAAATATGTATTTAAAGTGGCCAAAAACTGAATTCATATTATCATACTGGTAAAAACTCCTATTAACATCCACTGAGTTTAACAAATGAGTTGATTAGAAGGAAAGAAAAGAGGAGCATGTTCACAAATGCATCTTAATGCTCCTGGGTTTGCACAGACCTAATGTATTTTTGCCATAGCATCCTGGAACAAAGAAATCACTGGCTGCATTCCTTAGCAATGGTGTACTTTCCAGCTAACAAATCATACACTCAAACCATTGCTTTTTATTTATTTACTTGTTCTTTGTTTCAATGAATTTACATTCATTTTTTTTGAAAATTATGGGTGATAGAATGTCATGTGTTCATATGTCAAAGGAGAAGCACAGTTAATGTGCCATCATGATCTAAATTTGCCTTGATTATTTAATTTCCTGTGTTCTCTGCCGAGCAAAGACCTTATGCCTGGACTAATGCAGAAATATTCAACTATAGCAGGGGTCCAGGTATGAACCAAGGTGTAATCATGATAGGATTCATGATTCATTCATTTCCCCAGGTCTGGGGAAAACCATGGGACCCTGGTGGGGTGGAATAGAAAGGGAAGGCATCATGCCTATTAGATGGAATATCAAGTTCTCTGTGGAGTGAAGGGGGAATTCAGACTATAGCCCTGGGTTGGTGCCTCTGTTTTGCCATATGCTGTGGCTGCCAGTATACACTGGGGCCTATTCTCAGGAAAAGGGATCTCCCCCTGGGGTGCTGCAACTGGTAGGTTGTCTCCTGTCAGGCAACCTCCCACTGTGAAGCAGGGCCTAGTCCCTTTGCCAGCATTGCAGGTGGAATAGACCTTAGCAGAGTCTAAAAGATCTTTCTATAACTTCACAAGGATTTCCCTTAGAGATTCCCAGATAGGAGGCAAAGACTTCTGACAGAGGTGGGGGGGGCATGGTATTACAATTAATAGGATTTTATCTTGTTAATCTTGAATAATGCTTGCTAGAGAAGAACATCAGCAATGTTCTCTTCCACTAAGAGAAGCAGTTGTGCATCGTGGCATGGTGGGAATTGCCCCAGCTGTGGAGTCAACCACTGGGAGGCCCAGGATGCTGCACTTACTGAGAGCCAGAAGCTGCTTCAAGTAAGTGCTTGATGAACATTTACCATATGACCCTCAGAGTAAGCCTGCCATCATTCCAACTTACATATGATAAAACAAAACAGAAGAACAGAGAAACCATGGAACTTATTCCTGTCACACAGCATGCAAGTGCTAAATCTGGGACCTGAGGCAAAGATGCTGGCTCCAAAGCCTGTTTTCTTGCCACCAGGTGACACTTGTGGCTGGCATAGAGAAGGTGCTCACTCACTAAGTTTTTTTTTTTTTTAAATTCAAATCACTTCACCATGAGATTAAAATGCATTGAGTTTATTATTCTGGACTTAGTACACTGATTATTTTCTAAAGCAAACAGACAAATGCTTCCAAGAGCAGCAATAATGAAATAAAATCCAAAATTACCATAACACGATACAATGATTTATTACAGTTTCTGATTAGACAAGGAAAATTACCTCATGCTTTCACTATCTCCTTATGCCACAAGGAAACTAAATTTCCAGGACGTTCTATGACCTGCACCAAGCTACAGAGCTGGACTCTGAGATTCCCCATTATTCCTCTCGCTCTCTACTCCAGCGTCACATTGCTGGGATGTTCCCTGGGGGTGGGTAACTTGAACCAGAAGATCTCAAGGGCTGAACTTCATCTGTTCTTCTTCTCATCTAGTTGACAGAGAAAAATTCCAATTGACTGGGATATTCAATGACTCTGGTTAATCATACTGAGAATCAACTAACACTAACCATTAAAAAGGAGGAAAAGGACCAAACACAATGAAAAACCATCCTGACTTCAAGCATAAAGTATCACCACTCATTCTGCTCTGCGCCAAGCAAGTAAGCAACAGGAATAAAGGACAATTAATATAAATCAGGAAACCCACCAGCAGTCTCCAGGTTTACTTACCTTAGCGTGGAGGACGAGAGGAAGCGGCAGTAGAACCAGCACACTGAACACCACAAGGAGAAGTTGTCGATAAGCCAAAATATAACTGAGGAGTTTCATTGTCTAGAGCAGGTGGGTTGGAAAGCATCTTCCTCAAATTAAGGCAGGTGTTAAATAACCAACCTGGATTAATGTTTTTCCAGCACACCACCTTCATTCACTGCCCTAGTCAGACTAACATTAGTTAAAATTAAATCTCCTTTTTTATTGTTTTACTATCACAATTAGAATAGAGAGATAAGCCCAATAGCATTTGCAAGAAATCAAAAGGAAAACTGTGTTTCTCTTTCTTTTTTTGTACAAGTTAACTCTAGACTGAGAAGCCCAGGGAAGGCAGAATGGAGAAGTTGGCTGCCTTTGCCCACACTGCGTCCCGTCAGTCCCCTCTGCCCTTTTGATGTCTCAGTGTCTCCTAACAGGAGTCATCACCGCACTGTGGTGGTGTATGAGCCCATCTCCACAGGAGTCTCCAGTGTCCTTTCTAAGAAAGTCTATTATCCATTTCTGAATTGAAATGGCAACTCCAGTAGTAAGTATCTCAGTGTATGTCAGTGGAAAAAGGAGAGTTTTGGGTGTTGAGGAATTTTCCAGGTGCTTTGCAGATTGTGTACTGAGGCAGCCTTCTGCAAAAATAATGGAAGAACCATACACTACTGTGTGTCTACGTGAGGATGAAGGGGACAGCCTCGGGAGGAGAGAGAAAGGAGGGTGGGTAGGATTGGGGTGCAAATGATGAAAGCCTGTTATATACATTTACAAATATGACACAACGAAGCCTCCTCATCTATATAATTAATACAAACTAATAAACAAATCAATGGCAAATTTCCTCTCTAGGTTGAATGCAAAGTTCTGTGTATCTCTTAGAGCCTATTGTCATTTTGTTAGGAAACCAAAAGTAACCATAAAATCTTACACAAGCTTTCTGCTTTTAGACCTTCATAGGCTTGAATTGATACACACTGCTGATGTTGACGTTGTAATTATCAGGAAATCTGCACGGAGAAGAGGCACTAGGATTATTCCAAGGTGTATATATTGTGTGTGTGCAAATACACATACATGCATACACAGGCATGTGAGTATGTGTGAAGATGGGAGCTGTTCCAAACTATATTTTGAAACTCCTTAGAGATAGGGGCTCTAGTTAGTTTCTCATTGTGATGTGAATTAATTATGCATTAAACTTCTACTAAGTAACTACTGTGCACTCAGCCTTGGGTATAAAGAAAACACACTCCAAGCCCTCCTCTAATGTATCATTAGTTTTTCTTGACACAAATAACCTTAGTCCTATGTAATCTATGACTAGCATTTAGACCTTATTTCTKATTCTACATGAATGTAACTCTGATTTCTTTTCCTGTCAAGGAAATAATTTCCTTTACCAGCACTCACCATATTAATATAAAATAAACAGCATTTTTCTTTCTTAAAAAAATATAAATTTCTAGACAAATTACAATGCAGTGGTTCAGGAAAATCAGACTAGTAAACAGAAAAATAACTTTCCAAATCAGAAAGGTGTATTATATCACAGATGTCTCAGATGAAAGAAACGACATTTACTAGTAATAAATAGTGAGCAATAATAAATAAATAGTAACAATATAATGTTTAAAAAACACATTAGAAGAACTGAATTGCTCAAATGAGTCGTGATACTTATTTTTTTTTCATTATCACCCTGTCCTGTTCATTGCATGCTTTTTTTGGTCTATATTCTGAAGAAACCACTTCTGTTCTCAGATTTCTTTAGGCCACCTGGTGAGACCATTTGAACCTCACTTTCTTATCTTAGATGATTTTACCTAGTGAGATGACACCAAAAAATAAAAAGGCATCTTTGTGACATTTAAGGGAAATGAAGGCCCATACATACACGCAGGGAACTGTGGCACTTAAACCAGGCAGAGGCTAAAGGAAAAGCACTTGACATTTATTAGCGACTCTGTTCTGTGCCTCTCTTCTGGTGCCCATTTCTCACTAGAGGAAGACTCAGGACCCTCCTATGGAGACTGAAGCTAAATTACCAGCTTGGTCTTCCGTGGCTATCCATGATTACAGAAAGGTTCTACCTTCTGTTTAATGTCCAGCCATTCTCTTGTTCCTCAGTGATTTTCTTCTCTCTGCTGTCACAGAGAGAAAAGCACTGACACAATAATTCCATTAAATATGAGTGATCAATATGAGTTGGATGTCTGCAACACTAACTAGGGAATAAAGCTCCAGGAGATCTTGGGGCTTCTTGGGCACATATCTTCAGGCTTCCTTTAAATTTCGTCATGTGATTGGTCAGTTCCAGGCCAAATCCAGATCAGATACAATTGTCAATCTTTACCTGTTCTTTCTACAGAAAACATGAATCTCTTAATATATCAAATTATGTTATGTTTAATCCAAATTGAACCACATCATTGCACGATCATGGATTACACCATTTAAAACATTCTTTACAAATATATATATATATATAAACAGTGTGTTGGCACATGCCTATAATCCCATCTACTCAGGAGGCTGAGGCAGCAGGAGTGCAAGTTCAAGGCCAGCCTCAGCAACTTAACAAGACCCTGCCTACAAAAAAAAAAAAAAAAAAAAATATATATATATATATATATATATATATATATATACACACACACAAACACACACACACACATACACACACGTATATATATGTTGCTGGGACTGTAGCTCAGCGGGAAAGCACTTGCCTAGCTTGCACAACACCCTAGGCTCAATCACCAATACTGCAAAAAGAAAATAAAGAATTACAAATACTGTTGATGTATTTATTATTATTTGCTCTGTGCCAGAAAGTTTACATTTGCCACCTCATTTAATATTCAAAACCCAATATAAGATCTGTATATCTGTATTATTATTACTATTTATATTTTGTCCATTTGGAAACAAAATTCAAAGAGATCGAGTAAAATATTCCAACTACTTAGTAGCATAACGATTTGAATACAGTTCTTTCTGGTTCCTAAAGAAATAGGTTTTGTACTATGTTATGTGTCTACAATAATGCCTACTCATTTGATACTAAACTCTAATCATCAAATCTGGAATTTGTATGTAGTCACCTCATTGATAAATTTAGGGATGCAGTTCTGAGGTTTGCCATTGAGCATCATGAACGGACATAAATTGTATGAAACTCTGGTTAAGGCACAAAGGAAAGAAGAGTTCCTTATCTTTATTAAAGAAGCTGGATCATCTTCTGTGCTTGGGTTGCGCAGACAATCAGCATATGGGGAATGGAATTCCCCATTCCATTCTTTTCTCAGAACCATTTCTGGTTCTTTCTTTATTGTGTCATATTTATTCTCAAATTTGTAATTTTTTTTAAGTGTCTCCCTCTTCCAAGAATACAATTCCCTTCTCTCTCTCATCCTTGAAGTTTGATTTTCCAGGCTCATCTCAAATCTGCTGCTCTCTATAAATCATCCTGACAATTCCATTCTTTGCCCAAGTTCCTAGTCCCTGAGTTTGCGTGTACCCACCCAGGGTGTTCTTGGTCCAACTGCATCTGAATATCCTAGAATGCTGGACAAAAATGCAGATACTTGCGAATAGGATCAAAATGAGGCTTGGGAATCTTCATGTTTAGTTGGCTCCTACCTAATATCTATGTACACTTAAACTTGAGAATCATTGATTTTGTGTCTATAAGATACATTTTTGCCTGGAAGTAGAATGACTTACATTATTTACTATTTTAATAATTCATGTAAATCTCAAATCCTTAATAAGATTGTTAATTCTTTGAGTACAGAGGCCATTCATTTACTTCTTTTGCATCCTAGTATCCTTAGAAAAGTTCTTGGTAACAGTAAATACTTAGAGGATAGTTTCTCTAAACTTACCCATGAGTATAAATACATGGAAACCAATTAGCTTCATTGCTTAAATGGTATGGTTTACAAGAGAAACCTGTCAATAGAATGCTTAGGTTTGCAAAAAGATATAGCTTCACAGCAGGGAACATTTGCAGCATTGCAAATATCCCCATACATCCTGATATTTTTTTAAAAAATTGTGTATACTTAGTATACACTTTTTTTGGTGGGGGGGAGTACCAGGTATTGAACTCAGGGGCACTCAACCACTGAGCCACTTTCCAGACCTATTTTGTACTTTATTTAAAAACAGGGTCTCACTGAGTTGCTTAGTGCCTCGCTTTTGCTAAGGCTGTCTTTGAACTCATAATCCTCCTGTCTCAGCCTCCCCAGCCCCTGGGATTACAGGTATGCACCACCATGTCAGGCTTACACTTTTATTAGGAGGAAAAAAAAAACACACAACGAAAGTCAACATGATTTTCTTGTTGGTAGAAACAACTGAGTGTATTCATATATAAAAGGACAATGCATTTGCTTCTGTCATGTATTCCCATGTTATTTCTTCTTAGAGCATTTGGAGTTTGAAGTACATGCCAGTTATAGTTAATTGTTATTGTTGAGACTATTGGTCAAGGAATGCAAACCAAGGTTTCTCCTGACATTCACTGGTTGTTAAGTCTTAAATAACTCCTAATTCTGAAACTCACTATTGGTGAATTTCTATTTATATACTCTAGATTAATAAATTTCAAAGACTTTAGGCAATACATAGCAGAGTGCCATTTGTGAGCTTAGCCCTCCATGTTTTTCAGATACCATTCAAATCAAGAAGATTTATTTTTGCCTTACTAGCATCTAGTAACCATTTGCTTGGGCTCTTTTTAATGTTCTCAGTTTCTTCATGTTCACTCATCTCTCTATTCTTGAAAGAGCTGATTAACCCTCTCAAAGAAAAGACAACATAGAGATAAATTGTGTGTCCTGAAATTTTCCAGGCCCAGATCCATTAGCTATGAGTTTTTCTTTTCATTTCCTAAAATAAAACCTAGTTACCTAAGGTAGCATAATCTACCCTGGAGTCTCTAAATTCAGACACAAGTCCCCAAATACTTAAATGGGCATCATTTATTAACCATGGCTTCAATAATCATTCTTCCAGTGTCATAAAGTCAATGACTGACTGAACAGATAAAGATTGAACTGTGTCCT